TGTTTAGTAATTTCATCGTGATCACATTCTATATTTTGATTATCGTGTTGCTATCTATAATCATTCCAGTCATAAATATTGTATTTTTTCGCAACTAAACATTTTATTAAACTATAATTTTGAAAATCAAACATTTTTGAAAGTTACTTTTTTAGAAACAATCTATTCAGCCCCTCTTCTAGACCATTAGATTACCATATACCCCAGCGTCATCCTCCTCTATTTAGTGGGTTAAACCTCATTTCTTTTATCATCCCTTCAATGGAATCCTATCGCGTGGAAAACACCTTATAGAAAAGCCAAAATGCCATCTGATTCTAGAGATGCTTCACTGGATGCACCATGCACCACGTTATGACGCACCAAATGAATGACACCCTAGAGTAAAACTAAATTTTATTTTGGAGATGCATCTCCGGGTATTTTCAACTAATATATTGATATTTGAGCAGCCCAATGGAAATTTCAGAGATGTATCTACAGAGGTTTAGGGTGGAATTTTGAAATTTTGGCCACCTTTGGATGTCAGATATTTTTGAAGATACATTTCCAGAATAAGTTGATAAAACAATCACCTGCATGATCACATACCCATACTTGTTTTCCACTCAAAACCCTTTCCAAAAACCCTTCCATTATCAATCAACATTTTCACTCCAAATCTTCATTCTTCTGTTTCATCAAATCAAAGGGAACAAAAGAAGTTGGAATTCAAGGTAAAGATCATTTACATCAAGTCTCACTTTTCACATTAAGCTTGTTTTTAGTTTGAAAAATATTTTTTTAATAATAATCACATCAAATGGGATAAGTTGATAAATCAACATTTCTGGAATAAGTTGATAAAACAATCACCTGCATAATCACAAATTCATACTTGTTTTCCACTTAAAACCCTTCCATCCTCAATCAACATTTTCGCTCCAAATCTTCATTCTTGTGTTTCATCACATCAAAAGGAGGAAAAGAAATTAAAGTTCAAGGTAAAGATCATTTATATGGCGCCTAATTCCTCACATAAAACTTGTTTTTAGTTTGAAAAATGTTCGTTTAATCTGGAGATACATCTCCGGATTCTGTATGAAGTCTTCCAGAGATGCATCTCCGTAGATTGTCTGTTATCATTTTTTCTACTCTAATTATAATATTAACAGTTTTTGAGTTTTTTAATTGTAATTCTTTTCATTAGATATGGTGCACCCATATATTTTCTCCAAAAATGTTGCGTCTACAAATGAGAAAGGTGTTATTGTGAAAAAGGTAGATGTTGACAACCAATTTAAAAATGAGCAAGAGTTTGAATTTCATGATCACATGCTTCAATGGATTCATACGGAAGCCTCAAAACTGGGATTTGGTATGATAATCAGAAGGTCTGATAATGATTCGGATGGAAGAGGAACATTTGTGACTATGACATGCGAAAGAAGTGGGAAATACAAACCTCCTCTTTGGAGTTTTAAACGAGATGACACCGGTTCAAGAAAATATGAGTGCTCCTTTAAGTTGCGTGATTATATGTTGGCAAATAAGAGATAGAGATTTTATGTCATATATGGTTTACATAGCCATGACCTGTGTAAGAATTTATTCGGTCATCCAACTGCGTGTCGCCTCATGCTGGAAGAGAAGGAATTTATTTCAAACATGACATTGAATTTAGTTCAACTGAAAAACATACTTGCAACTTTGAAACGTAAAAGACCCAAAAATATCTCAAATATCAAGCACGTGTACAATATTCGGTACAAAAATATTAATGAGCTAAAAAGGAATATAAGTGAAATGCAACGACTATTGAAAATTTTAGATGATAACAATTATGTTTCTAGGTACCAAACGTGCGAGGATGAAGTAACCGTTAGTGGTATATTTTAGACTCATCCTCATTCCATCAAGTTATTCAATAATTTTCCTACTATTCTCATCATTGATTTAATGTATAAGACCAACAAGTAAAAAATTTCATTATTGGAGATGATTGGTTTTGCCTCTATTGAGAAGACATATCATGTAGGGTTTGCATTTCTAGAGAGCGAAAAAGAGGAGAAGGTTACTTGGGCTTTAGAGGTGTGTCGAGCAATATTGAATGATCAATAAGTGATGCCGAAAGTAATTGTTACTGACCACGATACCACTTTGATGAATTCGGTTGCGAAGGTATTTCCTACTTCTTATGCATTACTTTATAGGTATCACATAACAAAGAATGTAAGAAGTTAGGTTAAACCCACGGTAGGGACAAAATGCATAAAGATCAAATATGGAAAAATGGTGAAGGCGAGTGTGGTAGTGGAAAAAATAATGGATTCATGGAGTGTTATAGTAAATTCTTCTACTAAAGAGTTATATGTCGATTCTGTTATATATTTCATGACCATGTGCGAGAAATATCTAGATTTGTTGAAATATGTCAAAAGCACAATTCTGGACCAGGTGAAGAAGAACATTGTTTGTGCATGGACCAATCAGGTTAGACACGTTGGGAATACAACAACAAACCAAGTTGAGTCTGCCTATGCTACATTGAAGAATTGGTTGGGAAATAGTAAGGGCGATTTGTATAGAGATTGGGACTCTGCAAACTAAATGATCCAGAACCAGCATAATGAGATACAAATATCATTTGGTCAGAGCATAACCGTTTTGGAACACAGACTTAAAGACAACAGTCTTTATTCTTAGTTGGTCAACAACATATCTCGATCATGTTTGAATTATTTTTTTCACGAAGCTAAACGACATGATGACCTAGGCTCCGACAGTGCAAAGTGTGGTTGCACAATTGTGAAAACCTCTGGTCTCCTATGTGTTTGTCTTATAGAAAAGAAGGTGAAACTTGGTAGCCCGTTAAGAATGGATGAAGTTTTCAGTCACTTGAAAAGGCCCAGTTTTGATGATGTCTGTCACATGAAAGACAACAAGTTGAATATCTCTATCTTAACCGAATGAGAAGTGATACAAGAGAGATTTTTAAAAGCCGATGACAATATGAAACTCCGTATCAAAGAAAAATTGAGGAAGATTGCTTATTCAAAAATCACTGGCTTGAAACCACCCACTCAATCGTAAAAACAAAAGGTGCACCGAAGAAGGTCAAGCCTACATAAAGTAATAATTCAACGTTACAATCTCCTTCGTATTTTGAACATGTTGACGAAGTTTTCTGGACTAACCAACTCCAAAATCTCAACAAAGTGTTTCTAAAGGAGCTTGCATTAGTAAACCACCTCCTTCACCACCTACACAAAAAATTGCATTCATTGACGAGATGTCGATTTTTATGCACAAATACATCAAACGGATCTTCAATGTTGAGGGTGACGATACTTGCAATTTTCGAGGTGTTTCGAATTTACTCGGTAAGGGAGAAGAAAATCACACACTTTTTCGCCATCAACTTAACCATGAGTTGATGACCCATAAACAATCATACATACGACTTTACAGAAAGAAAGAAAATTTTGACGCAATTTATGAGTATCTTGTTCCTTGTATCAGTGGACCGACACTGGAGGAATGATGAATGCGTTTCCCTAAAATGGTTCATCTCAAAATGCATATGATAGAGTGTGTATTGATCTTACAAGATATACTTTTTGGACACATCAGTGGAGTGGACGACTCATTAAACAACAACATACGAGACTTGGCCTGACCAATTTATGGAAATGATGCAAGAATTCACCAAATTGAGCAACATTGAAAGAGAATCAAATGCACAAAATTCAAAGGGGGAACCACCCATGCTTATAGATTTAATCGGTGACAAGTATTTCTATTCATTTTAGTTTTTAGTCATCAATTAATTCTATGTAATTGTGTATTAATATTAATGAAGAATAATATATACAATTTCAAATATTTTAACATTTTGATGATTGCCAAAAAATTTGTCCATTTTTCAAACAAAACACATAGGTTCTATTTTCTATCTGATCGTGAGAGGTTCTGGAGATGCATCTCCTAAATAAGACAATAGGGTGGTACCTAAGATGCATCTCTGAAACCTCCACTGATACAAGATAGAATTGTTGAAGTCCATATTTGTCTACAACTTCTATAAATATAGGCTCGTGTTTTTTATTTCATACAAACAGAAAATGTCGCAAATGTCTCATTTTCTAGTGTCACACCTGGGCAAAAACTTAAGATCAATGAGTATACATCTTTTAGAGGTTTGCAGTACGAGGTGTTGCATCTCTTACCTTAGGGATATAATCGAAAAATTATAAAGCTCGAGTAACATTCACTGTCAATTAACAACGAAGACATGATTGATTTCAACAACTATGTGCTTAAGAATGGTGCAAATGTAAGGGTTATGTGAAATACATTTTCCTGTTTTCAAAATAAAAATTTCGATCGAGGTGGAAGCGACGATTTCAAGATCGGTCGAAGATATGTTAAAGCGTCCACTTGGATATTGAAATGTAATTTCTGATTTTATGTTAACATCATTTATGTAATGTTGATTTTATGTTATGAGCAATAATTTTATTTTGTCAAAATACAACTTTCTGATTTCATACTTTTGTTTATGTTTTAATAAACTGTGGAGATGCATCTACGAATCTAAACAAAACCACACTCCTAAAATATGATTCAAAATTAATCTAAAATCAGTATGTTTAAGATGCGTTTGAAGATATAACTCTAAAATTTGAAAGATTTTTTTTTTTTTGCATGGTGCATTAATAATATATATAAGGTATTAAGAAATTCCCATATAAGAGAACATGTTGAAAAGTTGTGTAGCCCATAAGACGATCATTGTTCTCCAATTGGGCCAGGGCCAACCATGCCCAGTTTGGCCGCATGGGTAGTCAAAAAACGAATTGACACGTGACATTACCGGTTTCCTCCAAACGAACACGTGTGTCGTTGTTAAACTTTGTAAACCGCCAACAAAACAAACAAACAACGTTGTCCATACCTTTTCCTAGACTTCTCCAAATCTTCTGCATTTTTCGGATTGTAACAACAACATGAAGAAAAAAATGGATAACAAAACACGATTAAGAGTTCAAAACAAGAAGCCAATCAAGCGCAGCGGAAAGAAGCCGTTGGTAAAAAAGATTTTGGATTATCTTAAATCTGATACTTTTTTGTATGCTCCTCTTATCTCTCCTCAACCATGTGGTTTTCCATCATCCAATTCCTTCAAAGGTTTGATATTGAAACTTACTCATGATTTTTCATTGGTGTTTTTCTTTCTTAATGGAGTGTTTTATTTTATGATCACAGTGGTGGAGCTGAAAAAGCCTATAAAAAAGAGGCACTGGTTAAAGGAGTATGTAAAATCTCACGGTTATATGTATGATACTGTTCTTGAGCTTCCACTTTCACCACAAGGTAAGTACACTTGTAATCAATTTTGCATTCTTTAGGTAGACAAAATGGTAATAACCGTTCAGACACGGTGAGTATCAGGGTTTGAGTTTGAACTCTGGTGATGACGTCTAATATAACATTATCGCTTCAGCCATCAGTTGAGCTAGGATTTTCAGACATATATGCCCTTTGTTACTTTAGCTACCAGTTGAATTTAATTAAATTGTTACATTTTATTGAGGTTTTGGAGATAAGGAAAAGACTTTATGTTGGAGAATTGAGCACAAATAGATAAAAGAACAATAGTCCAATTTAAATGAGTGAATTGAAAATGTTGAATCCTTGAATATCTTAAGATTTTAGGTGAAAATGTGTTGTCTGGTTAGCTGGAGCTTCGTAGAGGAGCAACAAACTTGGGGAAAACCTGTTTGCTTGCTTTTGTTCTTTAGTATGATTTTGCTGATACTATATTTTGGAGGCATATAAATTATGGTCTTCTTATTCGGCCCCTCTTTGAGGGAGTGCAAAATAAGCCATGACCCAGGTCATAAAATTTTCACGGTTAAGTTGTAGTTAAATAGGGCATCCTAATAGATTGTTTATGACACTTGTTTTGTCACATTGGAACTATAACTAATCTATACATGGTCTTCAAAAACTTACGACGATTGTGTTTTCAATGACACTTGTTTTCCGAGAAAATTCGTATGAATTTCAGAAGACATGCAAGATAAATTTAGATGTGAGGATATTTGATCACGTTACTATCAACCTATTTATTTGTTGATTTTGTGTTGATCTGCTAAATTGCAGAACCTCTGCCGAACGGTGAAGTGATTAGGAGGGATGTTTCAGCTGGAAGTTCACCAATGAATGTCAACAAACAACAAGATAATGCCTTAGGAAATGTGAACCAAAGGTCTAAAAACTATCTTTCTCCAACCCGACTACCTGATCGACCAACTCGGGGACAAAATGAAACTGTGAAACACACAGTGTACCAAACATGTCGCACAACTTCAGCTTCAGGTAAAAGTCTTCACTGCAAAAATGCGTGAAATAACTTATCGCGTCATCTTCTCTGATAAATTATCATTTTTCAACTATTTCAATGGTTGCTTTGTTGTTTGTTTCCGAAAATGATATATAGAATTATAACTCTGCAGGAAATGCGACTCTCAACTCACAGCTGAGAGCTCATACTTGATGGAACACTTTGGATATAAGTGTGAACATACAATATAGTAACCTATACAAGGTGTTGTTTTATGTGATCAGTGTTCATAATCATATCATGAATGTATTTAGAATTTCACTAGCTATTGTCTTTGTCTTTTGATAGAAAACACTATTAACTTGTTTTGATATGCATTACATGTGATGTATAAGCTGTTTCATTGTAGTTTGAACTAATTCCTTGCTTATCTGCTTGAAGTTTCTGTTTCTATATGGTTTGAAACTGGTTTTTGTTGACATTGATGAAAGCGCGAATGTTTTTGTTGTTCTAAACTTGGTGCTCTTATTTTGCACTTTCATAAGATTTTACAATCTCACTCAAAGTAGAATCCGTTATGTTAATTTTGTGTGATCTGGGCCAGTTTCGTTTACTCTTGAACACGATAGATAAAGCAAATGTATTGATCCATAAAATTGCGACTAACGACATAATTATAAAATGTGCGTATAGCGATGTAATTGTGACTACTAAATCAAAATATAAAAGATTATACTGAACTTAATTATAAAGTGCGAGTAAAGTGAGAAATATTATAACATAAACTAATTTAAACCCTTTGCTATTTTTTCATATGGTTAATTCTGACTAGTGAGTTTTTTTATATTACAATTATTTTATAAAATAGTTTGAAAATTTTTATTACCATCTGCTTTATTAAATTATAATTGTCTTCTAATGGCCTTGGGAGATGCCAATTATTTGAGAATAATATAACAAATGTGAGTTGAAGTGCTACATTGGTTATAATTGTGGAGAGTTGAATATTTATAATTAAAAAATTTATACACTCGTTTTGGGTAAATAAGTGTTTCTTTCTTATTTGTGGTGCTCTTAACTTTTGATTCATTATTGAAATGTCGGAGAATAATATAACAAGTGAGGGAGTTTGAACATTTATAAATAGGAGAATTTATCATCTTAAAATTTTAGATAAATCTTTTATTTGTGTTGTTCTCGATCCAATGTTAATGTATTTTAGTGATAAATTCTTACAATAACAACTGTCAAAAATTTTATCGAATATAAAATATTTAATGTCAGGTGTTGAGAATGTCCGATTGTCCCAATGACTTTAGAAGATGCTGCAACAGTTAGAAGTAAAGTATTTAACCTAAAATATTTAATAATAAGTTATCATGAACAATTCCAAAATAATTTTAGTTTCAAATATTGTTATTTAAATTCATTTACCTTATTCTGTTGACGGAGAAAAAAAAATTAAATACAAATATCACTGAATAACTAAAGGTTTCCATTACATATATGAGCAAATACAAACGAATCACATGATTCGGATTGTTGTGGGTAAACTAATCTAATTCAAGAAAACTAACTACCCATCTTTAAAAGATTCATGACAAGTATGACAGAAAGAAAAAAAATGGTCTTATAAGTAATTATGGATAATTCTTTAATAATGTGTGTATTTTCCTTCTCCATTAAATTTGGATGTTTTGAAATAAAATATAAATAATTTTTTTATGATCAAGAAACAAATAAGGGTTAAAGTTAATAAAAAAAGGTAAAACAATAAGAAACAACAAAGATTGGTCATAAACTGTTATTCCTTCCTTTCTCTCAGAAGCAAGATTATAAGTATACAAGAATAACAAAATAACATCTCTCTTGAAATTAAGATTTTATCTTCCTATTTTTTCTTATGCCAAAATGAGGGACTAGCATGCTATTTATAAGAAATTTAGCAGATTAACCTAATGGAATTTTTAACAATTACCCATTACAAGTTAACTTAAACAATTGAGCTTATAAGCAAGGTTCAATTCAACATGCTAACAAACCTAACAATCATGTTAGAACAAACTTCGACTATAACACGCATTACTCGAACAGCAGCATGCAAATAGGTTTTGACCTCATGCTTAATACCTGTCGAACTAGAAGCTATCATTCGATCATAATAGAGTTCGATCCAATATATCACAAATCTCCACCTTGGATCTAACTTTATAACATCAAGAAACTAGTTTTCTTCATGTAGTTTTATCAACTGCATACAGTGGAGAAACTTGCAACTTGGCAACATCTTGGTGATCATATCAACAAGATTATGATCTGTCGAAATCTTCAGCACTTGAATTTCTCCACGCTCACTGCACCAATTTGTTGTGAATAGGATGTCTTGAAACAAAATATAAACGGTTTCTTTATGATCAAGAAACACACAAGGGTTAGGGTTAACAAAGAAAACAAGGTAAAACAACAAGGATTGGTTATAAACTGCTATTCTTTCCTTTCCCTTAAAAATAAGATTACAAGTATACAAGAATAACAAAATAACCTCTCTCTCTCTCTCTCTCTTGAAATTAAGATTTTATCTTTCGATTTTTTCTTATGCCAAGATGAGAGACTAACATGTTATTTATAAGCAAATTAGCACACTAACCTAATGGGCTTTTTAACAATTACCTATTACAAGCTAACTTAAGGTACAAGCTAACTTAAACAATTGGGCTTACAAGAAAGACCCAATTCAACATGTTTACAAACCTAGAAATATTAACTAATGCATGTTAGAACAAACTTTGACTACAACACGCATTACTCTAACAGCAGAATGCGAACAGACTTCGACCTCATGCTTAATACCTGTCGAACCAGAAGTTATCATTCGACCATACTAGAGTTTGATCCAATATCTCTCTCTCTCTCTCTCTCTCTCACACACACACACACACACACACACACACACACACACACACGTGCGTGCGCGCGCGCACACACACACACACACACACACACACACACACACACACACACACACACACACACACACACACACATATATATATATATATATATATATATATATATATATATATATATATATAGAGAGAGAGAGAGAGAGAGAGAAAGAAATTTAACACAAGTCTCTTTCTCTTCCTACAGAGTCTTAGTTGAATCTGAAAAGTGGTAATCAACGATGTTTTTTTAAAACTAAAATCAAGACTTACAAACCATTCTTGATATATTTACTAAATGATGAGATAACTTGAATCTCCTTTTTTGAAAGTCAAAGAGCATCATACAATAAGGTTGGTAAGGTTGATAAAATTTTTCATGATCATTAAGTTTATAAATTCAAAACTCTTAAATATAGTTCTTTCAATATAAATGGCCACATTGCTCTTTTCTGCTTTATCAAAGAAAAGTCATTAAAGTAAAGATGACCACCCTCATCCTTTTATAGGAAAAACATCATGAATGTAAAATGAAAAGTATGTCTACGACATACTTGTGTAGTTATGATACTCATGAAAAACACAAAAGAGAATCGATATCAAATTAAAATTAAAGGACCCAAAAAGATCTGGGGTACTTAAAGTTAAAATTTGAGTTCTTGCGCTGGAGTGTTTTTATACTATGCAACTCTAAGTGGGACATCGATAGCGTCTGTTCAAAGCACTTGACTGAAGACAAAACTATGTTTTCCCATTTCAATACCAAGAATAGAGGCTTTTTCTTCTATGGTGACAACAATAAAAGGAGAATAATTAGTATTGGTACAACAAGTAAGTTCCCTAGTCCAACGATTGGGAAGATTCTTTTAGTTGATGTCTTAAAGCATAATTTATAAATTATTAGTTAATTAAGTGACAAAGGTAACATGTAACTTTTTATTCTTATAGATGTAAGGCTATCACATCTAAATCAGATTAAACTATTTTTACAAGTGCTTGAAGTGGAAACACCTACACAGTAAATCTAAATAAAATTCATTTAAAGGATGTTTGTCTTTTTAGTAACCATGACAAATCTCAGTTATGGCATATGAGAAAAGTCCATATCCACATATAACACTTAAACAATTTGTTCCTTGCCAAACATGCACTTTGAGAATAATAGGTTAAGTGATATATGCTAAAGGGGGAACAAGTAAGGGTTTCTTTTAAATCTATAAACGTTAAACCAACTCTTATAACTTTCACACATGGATACTTTTGCCCCATCCAAAACTAAATTTTTTGTGGAAATCTTTATGACTTTGCAATTATGGATGATTATTTTCTCTATAAATGGACACTATTCATATCTATGAAAAGAAACGTGTTTACTGCTTTTAGAAAACTTTCCATAGTTATCATGAACGAGAAAGAGTTAAACGTTGCATCGATTTGTAGTGGTCATGGTTGTGAACTCAAGAATAAGGAATTCGAAATATACTACAATAATTATGGTATTCAACATACTTTCTCCACTCAACAAAATCCCCAGCAAAGTAGGGTAGTGGAGAGCAAGAATTGATCTCTGAAAGCTTGAAGCCGATTCAATTTCAAGTAAAAGCTTGCCAAACATAAAAAAGGAGGAGACTAAAGTTGCATGTATCTACTATTTTAAGGGGGATTATGCATGTCTTTATTATATCTTTTTGTTTCTTGTATTTTAAGTTTTATTTTGATTTTAGTTTTATATCATTGAGTCTCTTCAATTGCTACTTGCATGATTAGGTTGTTCTTTATTGCTTTCTAAAAGTTGTATGTCATCAGGATTTCTTTTTATATCAATTAAATGTAAAAGTGTAGGTTTTGTTAGAATTGATACTTCAAATCTTTCTTGTTGTCGATTAAACTGAATATTATGGTTGTAAAATCCATTAAGTGTTGATATTGTAAAATGACACTACTTGTGTAATTTGTCAATTATTCAATACATTGCTGGTTTGTACGTTTTTGTTAGATTTGTTTTTCAATCTTATTTGTGCTTTGAATTGTATGAGTTGTTACATACCGATTCCAATCTTGATAAACATAATCCCTTTTATGATATATGTTATAAATTTGTTTCAGTCATGCAAAATCACTTTTATTTTAGAAACTTTAATAAAAGTTTTTCAAATTTTTTTTAAATTTTTTTTTAATTGAGAGGTCTATTCACCCTCTTTAGACCGTTTCTTATCTATATTCTCATCCAATAAAGAATAAATTTTAAAATTCATCAAACTCTCATGGACC